GGGTTGAGAAAAAGAAAATAACACTTCTTTCAGCTTGAATTGATTTTACTCAAGAACTAGAATGAAAAAAGTTACAAATAAAGCCCGGGTTTGCATACAATGTGAGAAACTCGGTATTGCCAGGGGAGGGTAGAGTTTGCTTTTTCTTCAATTTCTATTTTTTTATATTTCTTCAATTTTACCACTAAAAAATACAACAAGTGTATAAATGGATAAACACATGTCTTTGCTATAAGTAGGAGCAGGTTAGAGATTTCTAGAATTTTCTTAAAAGCATTGTCCAGGTCAACTTGGGGGTTTGAGCTCTTAACACAGTGTCAGAGTACGGCTCCTGACTAAAGCAACAGTTCAAATCCGATCGAAAAATGTGAAATCTGAAGCGAGAAAATTGCTTCGGACGAGTTTGCAAGAAGGGGGCGGGGTACTCCAATCTCGCCCCCTTGACAAGTTTTGATGTGGCCAAACTAGATTTTGAGCATTCGCCACGTTAAAACTCATCAAAGGGGCGGGATTGGAGCACCGCTCTCTTTTTTGCAAACACCGAAGCATTTTTTCGCTTCAGATTCCACCTTTTTCAATCGGAATTGAACTGTTGCGCTAATCAGGAGCCATGCTTTCCCACCGTCTGAAGATCCCAACACTCCCAAGTTGATGTGGACAATGCCTTTAAGGCAAAGATCAAATTTCTGGCGGCATGAATTGTCCGCGGATTTTCGATTTACCCTTGAATTGATCAGGGTTCATGCTGGTGTCTAGAGGTCATCTCGTAGAGGTTGCTTCGCTCTATCCTGATAAGTAATTTTCACTGAAACTTACCCTTTTCGAGTTTTCATAATGAACTCGTGCAAGTCTTCAAATAGTGAGCCATACTTCCAGTCTCGATTTTGGATGAGATTGCGAAGATGGGATCTTGTTGCCATCTCCGCATATGGCGCACTGCTGTTTACTCGAACTCTGAAATCCACCAAACCTTAGAATCTCACAATTCTTTTCCTTTTTGCAAAACGAGTACCAGTACTACCTGAGAATTCTCTTATTTTCCTCATATTCGAAGAAAAGCACAAAGATCGGTTTGAAATATGACGGACTTCTTATGGAGACGCGCTTTGGACCAAACCATGTTACGGTGAATCTCGCCGGCACCGATTTTAGTATCTAGAATTTTTCAGTGAAAATTGATACCCATATACGAAGGAAGAATTTTCTCATACCGTTTCCTCCAGACTAAATGACTCCACATTTCCTTTGATTTTTGTCTCATAGACCGCAAAGATATGTGGGGCTTTAGTGGCCCCGGATATGTCCAGAAGATCAACTGGCGTGATGGACAGTTTCTAAGAAGTTCAACATTATCTCTAGACTATTCGATGAAAGAGCAGATTAAGCAAGTACCTCAACATCTGCTAGTAAAGTTCCAGCTGTTGTTTGTGAATTGGAACAGCGGGGATGCGAAACCTGATCGGGTTGTGATGCTTGAAGACCTTTTTCCTTAGGTATCATATAATCTCCAAGAGTGAA